ACCCTCGCATGTGAGTACAGGGAAGCTTCAACACAGCTTCCTTTACTGTATGCCTCACCTCTGTAAACACCTATAGAGCATTTGTATCTGCGTGTGGCAACATACCAAGGTCAAGTGGTTGTTCCCGTGCTAACTGCAGGCAAACCATGTTATACAGCGAGCCTTCGGAGGCCTGTTTGATAGGAATCCCGTCTTGTCTGTGACGGCAGAGTCAGCAGGAGGTCTAGAATGGAATTAATTTATTTCATTTCCCCTTTAAAAATCACAAACTGCAAACACAGATTACTTCATCATAAGCTCTGACTGCTGGGCCGCTCGTCAGCCGACCCGCCAGCCCCGATGCACACAACGACTCCGCCGTACGCCGTGTCGGGGGTATGATAGAGGGAAACACGTTCATTTGATTCAATAAAAAAATCTTAAAGGTCACAATTATTCAATTTTTTAAGAAAAAAAACAAAAACTCAACGCAGGCGGCGCCAAGAATTTCCCCTCTGCCTCCACTGCAGCTGTCGTGCTTCCCAGCGCGCTCGGCCGCCGCAACATTTCCTCTTTTATTCTTTTCTCTCTCCTCATTTTTGTTTTTCCTGCAAACACAAATCATCACCATCCATATCACCACCCTGAAGCCATCCCGTCACCGACAGCCGCAGCGGGGGGCCTCAGTGCAGCCGACGCTTCGTATTAGGCAGAGTATATGCTGCAACAGCAGCAGCAGCAACAGCAGCAGCAGCAACTACAGCAGCAACAGCAGCTTCTGCAGCAGCAGCATCAGCAGCAACTGCAGCACCGGCAACAGCAGCAGCAAGGTATACCTGCGTGTACAGCAGCAGCAGCAGAATACCCCACTTCAGAACTGCCTGTTGACTGGGGGCCCCTCTGGCTCGGCGGCGCCACGGTGTAAGCCCTATCGCTAAGATTCATACAGGAGTTGCAGCACCGCGAGCCTTCTGCAGCAGCAGCAGCAGCATAGATAGCAGCACAAACAGCAGCAGTGCTTACGGCGGCGGGAGGCCACATGCAGCAGCAGCAGGGCGTCGCCTGCGGTAGCAGCAGCAGCAGCAAGACATCACATGCAGCAGCAGCAGCTGAAATCTTCCTAGGAGCCCTGAAGGCTTCTTAGAGTCCGTGAAGTGGCAGGCGATTGTGCGGCTTTGCTGCAGCAGCAGCAGCTGCTGCAGCAAGTGCTGTAGCAGTCAGCAAAGCTACGGCGTTTTTGAGCAGCCACGGGACAGCGTGAGCTGCTGTGTCTCTATTCTGCTGCGGCCGTTTACCCCGCACAGATAGAAACCCAAGGACTGCAACTGGCAGCAGCAGCAGCAGCAGCAGGAGCGGCAGCGGCAGCAGCAGCAGCAGCAGCAGCAGGCATTGCGGTGTCGGTGTGGGCCTGGCTATCCGGGGCAGAAACCGAGAGAGTTGAGAGCCCCTCAACAGCAGACGACGGCTAACGAAGAAGCGGTGTTGTTGCAACGAGCAGCAGCAGCAGCAGCAGGTGCAGCAGCAGCAGCAGCAGCAGCAGCAGCAGAGCATCTGAATCGAACTCATCTGCAGCAAAGATGTCTGTAAAGCTGCGAGAGTTCATTCGCCAGGTTCGGGCCGCCCGGACAGCAGCAGAGGAGAGAGCTGTGGTAGCCAGAGAATGTGCACGGATAAGAACAAACTTTAAGGTGAGATATGGACTGCTGCTGCTGCTGCTGCTGCTGCTGCTGTTGCTGCTGCTGTTGCTGCTGCTGTTGTTGTTGTTGCTGCTGTTGTTCTCGTTGTTTTTCTGCTGCTGCTGTTTTTGCTTTCTGCTGCTGCTGCAACTGCTGCTGCTGGTACTGCTTCCCCTGCTGCTGCTCCTGCCACTTGCTGCTGCTACTGCCACTGACGCTGTTGCTGCTGCTGCTGCTGCTGCTGCTGCTGCTGCTGCTGCTGCAGGAGGGGGACAACCGCCACCGTCACCGCGACGTGGCGAAGGTTTTGTTTATATCGATGCTGGGATACCCAACGCACTTTGCTCAGGTTGAGTGCATCAAGCTTCTCGCCAGCAACAGGCAAACCCTAAACCCTAAACCCTAAACCCTAAACCCTAATTTTTTTTTCTTTTTTTCTTACAAAACCCTTAGTTTTAAACACGTGTATCTCTTTCTCTCTCTGTGGTGCTCCCCGCTGTCGCTGCCTTCGTTTGTTGAGGGGCTTACTGAGCCGCACAGAGACAGACAGAGAAAGAAAGATGGCTGCTTGCATGCGTTTCTTTGCTTCTACTTGTTTCTTGTTCTTTCTTTTCTTTTTTTTTCTGTTTTTTTCTCTCTGTCTGCATTTCTCTGTATTAACATTTTTATTTATACTTCTCTCTACTATCTCTGTTGGCGTCTCCTCTGTCTTTTTCTCTCTGTACTACAACACATAAAATTGGTTAAATTAGTTTATTATATTATATTATATTATATTATATTATATTATATTATATTATATTATATTATATTATATTATATTACATTATATTATAAATATATTATAAACTATTACCGTATACTACTACTACTACTATTAACACTATAAATATTCCTATTCCATATATAATATATAAAATACAATCCATAACATATTAAAACTGTGTATTTTTCTTTTTTTTTTTATAGATATGCAGAGAAGAGAATAGGGTATTTGTGTTTACCAAAAAAAGAAAAACACAAATATATAAAAAATAATATTCCATATAATATATAAAATACAATCCATAACAAACTAAAACTT